AAAAAAAAAAAAAAAATTAGCCCTTGAATCAGCAGGAATAATGTCTGTGCATAATAATTAATACTGAAAAGTAATGAACAACTTATGTTCTCTAATAGGAGGCTGGACATTTGCTTTCTATCTTCCAAATTTCATGAGATTTTATTCACTTGCCTTTTAGAGAGCTGGGAGGTGGGGGGGGGAGCTTTCAAGGATATCAGGAAAATGGGTCACAAAGTCAAGTGTCACCTGCTGCTCTGTCCCACTATGGAGAACATCTGTCTGTCTGAAGTCCACTCACATCAGCAAGAAATTCGGAGAACTGCCCTCCCTTTGGTGGGTCAATGAAATCTGAATCTCAGGCCCCTGGCAAAGGGCTCTCTGCAGAAACAACAATAACACAGCGCATTTCTCTCTCTGCAGACCACAGAGGACGAGCCTTCTGAAGAGGACGCCCTGCAGCCTGGTCACAATATCATGGCCCCAGGTTATGCGCTATATGGTAGTGCAACCCTGGTGGCTATTTCCACCGGGTAGGGAGTGGACCTCTTCATGCTTGACCCAGTAGGTACAGAACATAATGGCGTCAGCTGTGGTGGAGGGTGTCCCGGCGACCCAGCATGAGGTGCCCACTGGAGATGACGTGGTGCTGGAGACAGCCAGGGAAGCCAAGGCTCCTGCAGAAGAAGACACCACTGAGCTCGGCCGGGACGTGCTTTCCCAAATGGCCATGTACCTGACAGGGGAACTGATGGCCACCAGTGAAGACGATAAGGTGCTTGAAAATATGAATAAGCTCACCAGCTCGAAGTATCCTGAAATGAATGACATTGCTGTAATAGCAGAAACTTGAAGGACTTTAAAGCAGAAACATGGCCGATCGCAGCCTTATCAGGGTCAGATCAAGGTCACAGAGGTGGTGGCAGCTCCTGAGCAGGCAGCTTGTAAGTTGAATGCACATTTAAAAAAGGCTGGAAGCCAAGTACAAGAAGCTGGAGGATGATGAAAAACTTGTTTCTATGGAACAAAGTCTCTTTTAATGGAGAAGAATGTTTTGTAAGACCTACATCCTGAGACTAATGAATTGTCCCAATTCCTCAAAAGGAAACTCCGCTTGACATCCCAGGAACATCCCTCCACTGGGGTAAACAGGAGGACCATGGGTACTTGAGAACCTCCTGTGGGCAGTGTCCCTCCGATACGCACACTTAGATGTCCTTACCTTTCACCAGAATGCTTCTTCATCCCCTCAGGAGAGAGACGCTCTCAAAGTTCAGGATACACCTGGGCTTGTCAGCAGATGCAAATGAAGGGACCTAATTTCTCTGGTAGTGGTTGATAATTGCATTACTGTCATAAGAAGCTGGTTTTTGAATCATTGTGCAAATAGTTTTTAAATTAATGATGCTAAGGTATTGTTAAGGAGATTCTAAATTTAGAAACCCAAACAGGCTTATTCTTTGCAGCTTATCACCTTGTGATTGTCAGTAATTTACTTTTCCATAACATCACAAATATCAGAAAAATCTCAAAATAATTATAGGTCAAGACTTCTAGACTGGGTGGAAATGGTGAAAGGAGTGTTTTGGTAGCGTGTTGTTTGCGATGGACTCCTCTTGTCTCTTTTCTGTATGAGTCAGATATCCGGGGATGGCCGACATCTTAACATGTGCTTCCACTTGGAAATGTGATATAGACAAAGACAAATGTATATGTGTGTGTTTGTGTTGGGTGAGTGGGTGGGTGGAGGTTGCCACTCATGAAAGAAAGCATTTTATAAAATAAATTTTTAACAGAATATGATGACCTCTATTCCTGGGTACTCCATAGTCCTCTATGCCTTAATAACAGTCCCCTGGGATAATTTCATGGTCATCCTTTATACTTGCTTTGGGAGCAAGAGAGCCTGGTTTAGGGAGCCAACACCATTATCAGAAAATATGAAAGACGTCTGTCCAAGTGAGGGCACTTTGGAGCAGAGGGGTCTATAGTGTCTATCGTATCAACTCAGGCCCTGTCCTTAAGAAGTTTATTTTCTAAAAACAAATTCAACCTTATTAATTTATGGAAACTCCATAATAAATGAATGACGATGCCATCCATGTCCAGACAGAAGCATGAAGCACGGATTCTTTAGAGCAGCAGCATCTGTAGAATGACCTGTGGATTTTACCTTTCAATGCTGGATGCTTTGCCAAGTGTAGTCAGGTCTTAAGAAAACTCAAGTAATGTTGCCTGAAGGCCATTTCACAGCCTCCTGTAGTTACACACATGGAAGGTCAGTCCTGAATTTAATTCTGATTTACAAATGTTTATTACCATCTATTACACCATCTCACAAAGCACCACTGCCAGCAGTGGCGATACAGCCCTGATCACACAAACTTTCCAGGCTTCGTAGAGTTTGCTTGTTAATACATTTGTAAAATGAAGGGAGTTGGAAGATTTCAAAACACAACAGTTAACTGACAGAATGGAGTTTGCAGTATGGACACCAGGAACTTTCAAATAGAAATACATCTAAACCAAGACCCATTGCTGTGCCAGTTTGCCAATACCCCAATTTGCCCTTATAAATATTACTATCAGACAATAAAGTGGCCTCCTTACAATTGTTCTAGAACAACAGCTGACGGTTATATAGTTTTTTTTAGTTATATAGTTTTTAATAAATGGTAGGAATGTAGATACACGTTCTAAGGGATTTTTAATTTATCGATGCATTTAAACATCACAGAAGCCCTGAGAGGCAGGTGCTACTATTATTCCCATGTATAGATGAAAAAAGTGAGGGTAAGTAACTTGTCCAAGGTCAAACTGCTGACTTGGGTGTCAGGAGTCACCCTCAGGCTATTTTGTGCTTAACCTGTTCCTGAAGCTGGAACACACTACGTGGAGCAAAGTATTTCCAAGAAACTTCTGAGCAGTTCTAAAGACAGCGGGAGCTGCCTTTGACTCAGGGTCCCCACACAAAGAGCCACAGGCACAAAGCCTTCGTTTCCTGCTCTCAGTCATGACTATGGGCCCAGCCTAGACATATGGGGACACGAGAGCTTGTCTGTGTGACAGAAGAAGAGATGAACCAAAGTATAATCTTTTTTGAAATGTTTATTAACCTGAAAACCCTTTGGATCATGTTAGTATTTACAAGGGCACTGTAGCAAAGACCCAGTGTCCGAGGCTTAGGGCCTGTTTGGATGCTGACATCAAGCTGTGGCAGTTGTCACAGAGAGATGCCAGGGAGAGTGGCCATCAGCTTACTGAGCAGGGTCACACAGAACACAGATCCTTGTTGGGGTGCACAGAGCCTATCAGACCTGTGGACTTGTAGAGCTCATAATTTGATGTTGTCAGGACACACGTGCTATGAGGGCAGAGGGACCACCTCCTGTTAGCCACACTCCCCATGAAGGAGACACTCAATGTTAAGGTGCTCATTACAAATGGGAGATACTGTTTTGTAGTGACAGGGATCTGGTGCCTCTTATCAAAGTGTGTGGAGGCCATGTTAATCATCAGTGGTTGTTGGCAGTCACACAGTGGGAACCAAGAGACATATTTTCCAGACTGTGGTAAGGCATCATTGCCATCTCCTCCCCACATCTAGAAACAACATTCCAGGCGCCTGAGAGTTCCTGCACAAGGGCCCAGGGGTGGATAAACCAGGCCTTTTCGCCCCATGCTGATGCAGAATGGGCTCCTCCATGCAGACGGGCTGGTGACTACCACTGTTTAGATGACCATTGTGCATGTTCCATGCTCTTGGGTGAAAAGCAAGAGACAACTGCAGCTAATGAAGCCAACCATGCTCCTTTCCTCATGGGGGCCTGGAGTGCAATGGCTGCAAATAGCAGCATCCTTGGTAGTATGTGCAGCCTGTTGCTTATATAGGTTGCTCTAAGGGACCTCAGAGACATTCCTTTCCAATACATGTTCATGTGTTAGACCTTGTGCTGTCCCCAGTCTCGGGTCCAGATAGGTATGTGTGACTTTGTGCTGTCCCCAATCTAGGGTCCAGACAGGTATGCTTGATACCTTTGGAAAGCCCCAGGGCACTGTGGCCAGGGTTCACATTGGCCAAGTCATCATGTCCCTCTGCACCAAACTACAGAACAAGGAGCATGTGACTGATGCCCTTCACAGGGCCAAGTTCAGTTCTCTGGCCTCCAGAAGATTCACATGTCCAGGAAGTGGGATTTTACCAAGTTTAAATCAGATAAATTTGAAGACATGGTGGCTGAGAAGCAGCTCATCCCAGATATCTGTGGGGTCAAATACATCCCCAGTTGTGGCCCCTGGACAAGTGGTGGGCCCTGCACTCATGAGGACCTATAGTGTGTTGCCTAACATTTGCACCTACCAATGATAAATCCTACTTCCTGTCCAAAAGAAAAAAAAAAAAGCAAGAGAGAAATTGACCCTGCTAAATTAATGTGCATGCAGAGGACTCAGGCTGCTGGTCTAGACAGCCCCAAAACAGGGTGCTCAGGAGTAGTCTCACAGCTTGGCCAGTCTGGTCTAGACACCACCACAAGTTCTAGTTCTGAATTCCTCTCTCAGGTTTCGAATGCCAATGAGGATCTAATTTTCAAGCTAATGTCTGACCTCGGCCTAGAAGAGGCCCATACATGAGTCTTCCTAGATTGGCATCCATGAAAAGAGCTAATTCTTCAGTGGAACTCAGGGTGCTTTTCAGAAGTGGAACTCAGTGCTGGACTGCTCCAAAGCAACAGAAGTCCACAGCAAGTTAATAAAGCCCACAAAGTAAAGACTATTGAGAGTACAGCTATAATAAAGAGAAGCTGGGCTCACTGGGCCAGAGGGACACCCCCCAGAGAAACCAGGTGCACTGTGCTGAGGAGTCTGCATGAGTTTATTCCATACCTGGCTGTTGGCTTGATGATTCCAAGGATTTTAGGAAGTGAGGATCTCTTCTGGCTTAGATGTTACTTGCAAGTGGGTGCGATTAATGATTAGATGTCTTAATAATTTCCATCTAGGAGGCAGGAAGATAAAAGTCAGAGTAGAGACTCATTGGTGAAGGTGCAGTCATCACTGATGTTAGGCAGAGGAGAGGAATGTTTAGTGATTTTTGTGGTTGTTGAGTGTCTTTGTCATTGTCTTATTTCAGACATGGTCAGAGTGGCCTTGCCTCTTTCCATTCTGGAAGTATCTTCAGTGTTCCTTGGGCTACTTCTGCTCTAGCTGCCAGCTGTGAGCTGTCATCTGGGGAGTTTCTCATTTTCTTTTCTTTTTTGGGGAGGCTGGGCTAGTTTTGAACCTGCCACCTCTGGCATATGGGGCTGGCAACCTACTCCTTTGAGCTATAGGCACCACCTGAGTTTCTCATTTTCTTAAAGTCTTTGACAGTCATCAAAACAGATCTGGGCTCCAGGCACTGATGTTCCTCCTAGTGACTTAGAGAGTCAGCAGTGTTTAAGGTGACATCTGCAGCTAGCTGACCACATCCTCAGGGGCTGCTGCCACCAAAACTAGATAAAGGGGTGTTGGAGGGATGCCCTGCAGGTGTTGGCATGTGGGCATGCTGCCCACATGACCCTCAGGGACTGCAGGGCCCTTGGTACAATTTTAGAATAAGTTTGAGGATGCCTTTAGATTTTACTAACTTGGTCCTAATGCCCTTCAAACCTAGTTTCTGACTGAAGGAAGTTTTCCCTGAGGTGAGAGTGTTGGGATAAAGAGATTTTAGTGGTTTCCAAAATTGAATCATTAAACAACATAGCTGGCCCACAATTTAGTAGTCAATCAGAATCCTTCATGCATTGATGTAAATTCTTCCTCTCATTGTTGATGGCCCAAATTCTCCTGAAAACATTAATCTGGGGATGAGAAACTGGGACATAAGTACAGTCAGGGTCCTTGTAGGTGAGGGGGCCTCACTGCCAGTGGAAGGTACAAAGGAAAGAAAGGAGATCCCAGGCCTCTTTGCTTTCAATTCTTTTACCCCTCATGATATGACTGCTTGAGCCTTCTGTGTAGGCTCCAAATTATCACTGTCCATTCTGCCATTCATGAAAACACCACTGGTCCAGCTCCAGAATGGCCACAGCAAACCCCGGTTCCTCCAGCAGGCCCTCGCCCCCTAACGCCCTGGGTACTGTGCAGTGTGCTGTTGGCTTCTGCTTCCTGGCACCTCCCTTGTTCCTGCTGTCTCTCTTTATCCTTCTAGGCACTTGGTGAATTTGTCCTGGTGGAAAAAGATGTCAAGATTAAGAAGAAAGGAAAGATTTACAGCCTCAATGAGGGCTATGCCAAGTATTTTAAAGCTGCCACCACTGAATATGTGCAGAAAAAGAAATTCCCTGAGGTGAGTGAAGCAAGTCCAGGCCACCGTCAGGGAGCATGCTGTCACCTGGGGTCATGTTTGGGCAGCGGATTAGGGAACCTGGCTGGAAGAAGTTGATGCCATTGTTTATGGCCCTGTCACTGTAAGTGTGGTAGACTCTGTCTTTCTTCATAAGCAATCAATATTTTTTATAGTTAAAATTTACCTACCAAAGGTAAAGCCTGCCTTTACAAATGAGCTTTGCAGGGGAAATTATTTCTAAAGATGGTAGGGACCATACTTCCAAAATTCACAAGTTCAGACCAGAACCTCTCATAAGCTTCAACCTATAGAGTTACTCAGTTGTACTTGTTTTTTTGACTAACAGCACTACGCCACAGGCTATGTTTTAGAAAAGATGAAAGTGAGTTTGAGTTTTGTGCAATTTATATTTTACTTGTTCATTGGAAGTAAGGGTGTGAGGGAAAGAGAGAAAGTGAGAAACCAAGTGTCGAGTTTGCGCTGAGTGCTTCTTCATGTCTGAGGACACAGCCATGATCATTATTGACCTCATGCTTCCAGGTCTAAGAAGGGACAGGAAAGACATGAATGGCATGATCCCTGCCCCTAAGTCAGTAATTTTATTTCTATGCCAGGACTAATATGCAAGAAATTACTGAGGAAGAACATAAGAGAATATGTAACTGACACAAAAATCTACAGTATAGATGCATATGTTGGATGTCGTGTCCCTTTGACTCACGTGGTAGAAGAGATAAAAAGAAACACCTGCACCAACACCATAACCTGGAACGGTGTGGGATACCTGATTCCTCCTAATAACACTTGGTGGGCATGCTCCATGGGTCTAGCCCCATGTCTAAATGGTATGGTCTTAAATGTAACCCATGACTTTTGTGTCCTAGTCCAACTAATTCCTAGGTTTACCTATTATAACAAAGATAAGCTAGATCTAGCTTATGAAACTTACAGCCAACAGCATAAAGTTAAAAGAGAACTAGTTACAACTGTAACTTTAACTGTACTAATGGGGCTTGGGGTTGCTGGAGCAGGGACTAGAATATCCTCTTTAGTACTATAGGATAAAAATTATGGGGCCCTATGGGCTGCAATAGATTTAAATATAGAAAGAATAGAAAAATATATCTCACACTTGCAAGAATCACTAACGTCCCTCTCTGAGGTAGTTCTTCAAAATAGGTGAGGATTAGACTTTTTCTCCAACAAGGAGGTCTGTGCACTGTCCTTGGAGAAGAATGCTGTTTTTACATAGATCATTCAGGGGTAGTAAAACAATCAATGGAACTAGTTAGAGAAGGACTTCGAAAACGAAAATTAGAAAGAAAATAATCCCAAGGCTGGTATGAAAGCCTGTTTTCTAAATCACCTTGGTTAACAATCTTATTATCCACTATAGCTGGCCCTCTCCTTATCCTTTTGCTGCTAATAACAATTGGTCCATGTATAATCAATAAGCTACTAGTTTTCATTCAGAATAGAATTAATGTAGTTCAACTTCTAGTCTTACAATCCTCTTATACCCCCCTTAATACCAGTGAAGACCCAGAATTTGCCAAAAGCCCATGATTGGGCTCCTCTATGTTCAAGACAGAGGGGGTAATGTGGGAAGCAAACTAATTAACTCAAGTCAAACTACCTCCTTTTGTTGTTTATTCAGAACAATAGGCTGCTGCATACCAAGGACCTTATACCTAGGTGTTAGGCAAGCCCCCTTGTGCACTCAGCCCACATCTTGACCCCTTTCCCTTTTTGCACTTGCCACTCTACTCTGCACTCACCCCACTACTCTGCACTCACCCCACTTGCAACCCCCTCCCCTTTTTGCACTCGCCACTCTACTCTACACACGCTCCACTTGCGACCTTTATCCCTTCCTTCTCATTCACTCACCTGAGACAAAGAAGACAAAGATTGTCCCTGAGCCAATCAACCCTGAACACGACCACCCTGTACCTGTCAGTTTAGGACAGACATGATTTACCTACCAATAAGGGGATGGGGTGGGATTGTCTAATAGGAGGGAAGAGGGAGGGGTATAAAGAGACTTTCTGAATAGTCTGTAAGGGCTGTTCCCGCTTTTTCTTAAAGGGAAGCCCAGGCTCTGAGCTTGAATGAATAAAATTACTCGTGCCTTTGCAGCGATGTTCAGACTCTCAGAGTGGTGCCTGAATTGAGTCTGGGGATTAATAGTGGTAAGAGCAGATCTGCATTTTTAAAGAGCACTTGGCTTTTGTGGGGAATGCACTGGGAGATGGAAGACTCCTGCCACTATCCATGGCTGCTCTGTGCCCTTGGCCTAAAATCCAAATCCTCAACAAGGCCTACAAGGCCCTTTGCACTACATGCTCCCCTTCTGCTCCCATATCCTGTTGTGCTGTGTCTTTTGCTGTATTTCTGGAATGGGGCAGAATCTTCTCCATCTTGGGACCTTCTCACTCCTCAATCCCCTTTGCCTGGAACACTTTTGCATAGCTCTCCTCAGAACTGACTCACTGTTACTGAAGCTTTTTCTCAGAGAAGACTTCCTCAACCCCTTCCTTAAAAGCAGAGTAGAAGCAGAATAGGGTTTTATTGGGGAACTTTTGGATTCT